CCTGATCCGCTATGTGCGGCTGAAATAGGTGGGTGTTACCCACGTGTTCTGTCCCAAGCATTGGCCCCAAACCGAACAGGGGCTGTCGTCCCTGCCCCTCAGAATGACGACCCCCCCCTAACAGTATGGATAAGCAGATTTGCTGTGTGTGTCTGAAACAGGAAAGGGGGGGGATAAGCAGGAAGGGAGGTCTGTTAACAGGGGCGGCGGGAGTCGAACAGGTTCCAGAAGACTCGGAGATGCGAAATTGGAGGCAAAATTGGAGGCAGGCGTTGAATTTCAACGCCAACAAAACGAACACCGGCAAAATAAATCCGAGCGTCTTCAGGTTGACGTAGGACTGTCGGGACACACCCTGGCCCTGCGGGCCCACGCCCATAATGACAAGGCCATCGGCGATGCCGTTGGCCGTGTTGGTCAGCGTCATGATCAGCACGTCTGCCACGTAGAGGGACCACCAGGGCCACCAATCCAAGATGAACGGCGACATCAGCACGCCCACCCCCGCCTGGAACAACATCATGTGGCTGCCTTGGCCCCACGTCATGCACTGCCACATGTGGCCACACGCTGTGATGCTCAAAGGGCCTTGAGTTGGCTGTATCCTTACGCATGCCTTACGCCACATGTTGTCACACACATCTAAAAATAAGTGTGCCGGCTGGTCAGTCACCAGGCCTTGCATGACAGCTGAAACACTCCACGTGAACTACCAAGTCAAGGAGTAGAGTTGCACCCGCACCTCGAAATTGCCTTCCAAGCAGCGTGAGTCAATCTTCGCAGGGCTGAAGGCAACCATGATGTTCGTCACGGCAGAAGCAAGCGCGATAAACCCAAATATCCAGCCCGTAGTCAAAGGTGAGAAGCCAAACTCAACTTCCGAGATCATTGTGGTTGCAACTTCGATCCCACCTACTGAGAAGGAGCGCTCGATGTTGTAGATCACACCGGTGCGGAAAACCACTTGCTGATCGGACTCGTTCAAGGTCAGGGTCTCGCTTGGCTCGGGAGCTGCCTTCTTGCACTCCGCTTGAAGCCCGGCTTCAAGCTCGCGCGGCACGAAGAGCATCACAACGGCCAGGAGGAGCACGTTCAGCGCAATGAAGAGCATGGCAGGGGCCGCCCCGGCCTCGATTTCGGAGCTCTGCTCCATGCCAGAGAGGTGGAACAAAAAGACGAGGGCCAGGGAGGATGTGACGGCTCCCAGGCAATGGCCCAAACCGAAACACGCTTGGTTCGCAGTCTGAAGGTCCATGAGCTCCTGCGACGGAGTCATTTCGAAGGCCAACCAGCTGGCACTCAAGTTGGCCAAGGCGCCGAAGAAGCCCCCCAAGGAACGGAAACCGACCAGCAAGGCAAACACGAGTGTGGTGGAGACATTGGAGACTTGTGGCAGCCACAGGGCCAGGACAAAGCCCACGTAGGCCATGGCTTGCAGGAACAGCCCCAAGGCCACGCCGAAGCGCATTCCACGAAAACTCTGGGCCAACAGTGCTCGCGCGAAGATCACGAGACATTGGGCCAAGAGGCCGCCGAGGCATGGGCAGCTGGAGAGCACACCGGAAGCAGCAGCGGAGAAGCCGAGCTCTGCTGAAAGCGGCAAAGACACAGTCAGCAAAAGGCTGTGCGAAACGCTGATCAACAAGGACGTGGCCAGGTAAGCAAACTGCCCGGCCCGCCGCCCGCTCTCTGCGCAGGCGCAACTGGCACAACTTATCCCGCATATCTCCGCGGCCCAGAGCGCAGCACAGGCGCAGGCCACAAAAATCAAAAAGCTGCCGATGAAACGCGGGGCGTGGGGCTCCAGTGGCTTTGCGAGCCGATGGGCCCTTGCCGGGGTGGCAAAGTTGGCAGAGCTGTTGAGGTCAAAAGCATGCCCAACGATTTCGACGGTTTCTGAAGCTGACACGTTGGTTTGCAGCTGCAAGAAGCATGCGTCTGCTAAAGGGCTCTGTTCTAGCGTCTGTCCATGCCCACGCAGCACAAGGGGCAGGGCTACACAGGCATACAGCATGTAGTTGTCGGAGCATGAAATGGAGGTGCCTGCACGGTCTCGCACTAGAGCCCAAAAGCGGAGGACAAATGTGTAAGACAAAGATTGTGATTTGCCTGTCGCAAAACCTGTCTGCCAAGGCCAGAGGGGTTTGACCAAGGCGCCTACTATGAGGGCCTCACCAATTAGAATGTGGTTTCGGGGCCCCATAAAACTGGACTCGGTAGAGATCACAGAGGACTATTGTTTAGTACTTATTGTGCTGCTCATATCATAATTTTGTATCAAACATGTTTTCTTAAATTGTGGGTTTCTCAGTTCCCCCCCGGCCGCCCCCCCCCCCCATCCCACAAATAGGTGTCAAAATACAATTTGGACCAGAATGGGTGCTCTTTGTTTGGAGAGAGCTTTTGAGAAGAGGTTGCCCCCAACATGTTTTTGGCCTCTCGCATAAAATCCCTCTGTCAACCTTAGCCCCAAGCGTGGCCCGCGTGGTGCTGGTAGATCCTCGTGTCACATAGAGGCAACGGAGGACACAGGGGCAGGAAACCCTGAATGGCACGATGATGAAACGGAGTGAAACGAGAAAGAAACGGAACCAACGGCAACACTTTTGCGACCCAGTGGTTGCCAGTGTTCAGTTTGGCAGCCACTGATTCTCCCGAACGCTAAAACCGCCAGCCACCTCCCAGCGCGCTTGCACAAGGACACTACTTGCACGACGAGCACACGCATATATCAACGTCACCGTTTGCGCGTTTTCAACATGTTTTTGCAGCTTTTTTCAAGCTAACGCGCTTGTGGCAGAAATGCCCCAATTTCGGGTAACTAAAATAATAAAATGATAAGTCAAGCTAACCGCTGCTCACTGATATAGTAGACTATAACTGCATAACTGTTAACGAACCCATGTTGCACGTTTGCAGCGCAACAACTTGCGCAACACACTTGCGCCAAGCACAATTTCACACTTGCGAAGCGAATTTTCTCAGAGCAAGTGGCACAGCGCGCAGGGCAACTTTCGAACAACACTTGCGCAGAGCCCGTCCGCAGCGCAACACGCGCTGAGCAACTTGCGAGCACACTTGCGCAGAGCACTTACACGCAGAGATCTGCAGCTACGACTCGAAAATTCGCAGCGCTGAAGCATTCTTGCAGAAGGGCGCGCATAAACACGCTTACGGCAAAGCTTTTGCATGGTAATTTTGGACACTAGGCCTGAGCAAACAGCTGTTTACACAAGCTTGACTTGTTGAGTCTGAGCTTGGTCCTCTGGGTTCAAAATTCGCACTGCGCCATGGCCACAACGACCCAACTCACCTAAAGTCCGCCGAGGGTTCTTGCATCACGCCACAGCGAACGCGATCCAACACACCCGAGGTAGAGCACACCCTCGAAAGTCCACACACTTTGCTTGAGCCTGCGCAGTCGAAACGCAGATGCGCATCTCACAAGAGGACTTTTGCAAGACACAAGTGCGAGCCCGCGCAGTCGACATGCGTTTCAAGATTCCACCATTGTACGTAAATACCATGAAAAGAGTGCTCCCGGCCTTTGACTGCTACCGCAAGAACCTGCAGTGGCTTTGGGGATTCGTCACCATCCATGCAGAGGTTCGTCACTTTGCCTGAGTTCAGTTTGTGGATATTCACCAGGACCACCAGCCAAACAATTGGCTGGCGCCAGCCAAAACTCTTGGCCGGTGACCAGACGAATAAAAAACCTTGGGTCGCATGAAAACAACTTGCGAAGTGGGCAAGATGTGTAGCAGCATACGGCTTTCGCAAGCCAGCCCTTGGGCCCTTGTTCGTGGCACACATTTAGAACCGAGGGAGTGCTCACATAAGAATGAGTATATACATTTGTGTGTGTGATCATGCGCAGTACGCTTTTCCTTTGGAGAGAGAAACAAAAATCCGCCGACCCCTCGCCCAAGAGGGGAGGCGCTCGGGAAGAGTCATAGAATATGCGAGGATGATAGTTCTCATCATCCTGATAGCAATGCAAAGGATGCTGCGATGACAGTTATCATCATCATGGTGGTCATGACCATCATCTCTCAGTTTTCACACTCTTCTCCTTTTTACTCTTATATATACGTTTCAGAACTGACGGAAGACCTCAATGGTAATGCTAAGGATGCTGCGATGACAGTTATCACCATCACGACGGTACAAAGGGTGCGAGGATGATAGTTATCATCATCTTGATGGTGCCGCAAAAGGGTGTGTGATGACAGTTATCATCATCACCGTGGTCATCATCAGCTCTCATGATCAGTACATCTTGACGGGTTGTGTTGCTAAGGACGCGATGATGATAGTTATCATAAATCATGGTACTGCTAAGGATGCGATGATGACAGTTAACATGAACCATGGTAATTTGGTAATGCTACGGATGCTTTGCTGATAGTTACGATGAGCGTGATGGTCATGCAAAGGATGCTATGATGATAGTTGTCAGGATCGCGCTGGTGCCGTGATCATCATCTCCTGGTTTCTTGTGTGACGGACTGCTGGAAATGCTAAGGATGCTATGAGAAGAGTTGTCATGTTCATGATGGTACTGCAGAGGATGCTATGATGATAACTACCATCGTCATGCTGGTGTCACGGTCATCATCTCTTGGTTTTCATATTTTCTTTTCCCTCTTCTTATATATACCTTTCAGAACTGACGCTAGATCTCGATGGGAATGCTAAGGATGCTGCGATGATAGACATCACCATCACAATGGTAATGCAAAGGGTGCGAGGATGATAGCTATCATCGTCCTGATGGTACCGCAAAGATGTGTGATGACAGTTATCATCATGTGGTCATCATCACCCCTAATGATCAGTACATCTTGACGAGTGGTATTGCTAAGGATGCGATGATGATAGTTTTCAGGAATCATGGGAATGCTGAATCATGGTAATGATAAGGATTCTATGCTGGGAGTTATCATGATCATGATGGTAATGCAAAGGCTGCTGTGATGATCATCATCTCTCGGTGTTCTTGTGTGACGGGCGGCTGGTAATGCTAAGGATGCTATGATGATAGTTATCATGTTCAACTGCAGAGGATGTCGCGCGCGCGCCAGAGGCCTCAGAAAGAGCAGCCCAAAAAGAGCAGCCCGCAAGCCAGCCCGGAAACGCACATGCAACAAAACACCGTAAATAGCAGCGTTTTGTGGCTGGGGTCGCGCGCGCGCGCCAGAAGGCTCGAAAACCAACAGGAAAAAAGCAAGGACCGCGCAGCACGCGAGCCAGCCACAGCAAAAGCAAAACAGACAGAACAACAGCCCACCGCTCAGCGCAGCAGTTTTTGACGGTATTTACAGCGTTTTGTAGAGCGAGGACCCAGCATCGCCGGCATGCGGGATCGTGGAGTGGGTGGCTGGTGCAAAGCTGCGACCGTGGAGCTTGAAGCAGGGAGTTTTCAGCAGGTGCAGCAAAGAAGAAATGGCCGGTGACCATGGAGGGTGCCCCGATGGCGCCGGAGGAAGCGGACCAAAGCGGCGGAGGGCAGAAAAAGGATGCCACGCCTGAAGCGGCCAGCGTGCATGAAGTCAACGGCGAGGCTTTTGTTGGCGCAGTGCGGCCGCACGTGTTGTCGTCCGACTACACTAGCTCCCAGGTACATGACGTAGACATGCAAGAAATCGTGCAGCTGGCCGACCAGTGGCAAAATTGATTCGTCAGCTGGGCGTGCCCTTTCAGCCTGCCCGTGCCAGTGGGCGGTCCGGATTTCCCGCCCAAGTTGCGGGACCGCAGCGCCAGTGAGGCAGCCGTGCTCACGCCCTTCGCGCACATGCAATCGCTGGCCCGGCGTGTGGAGAGCTCCGTTCGCATCCTGCACAGGCCGAGCAGGGTGCCGAACACAAAGCGCACCATGACTGTCAGTTCGTAGCTGGATTTGGACATCAGCCGTCTCCCACACCCAAGACAAGCCATGGCCCGGACATGCCTGTCGCTGCCGTGCCGGGTCTGCGCGGCGATACCGCGAGAACTTGAGGCAGAGGCGTGGTGGGCGACAACGTCAGGAACAGCGGCTCGCCTAGCTCCACCCGTGCCCCGAATAAGAACCGGCCTCCGCCGTCCCGCAGTAGCTCCTGCTCAGGCAGCGTCAAGTCTTTGGCGTGCCACAACTTCCGCGCATCGTAGTTGATTGGCTTGCACACATTGCGGCGCACGGTGTGCGCCCCTTTCTGCAACTTTTTGTACAGGCCCTGCGCGGCTTCCACCCACGCGTGATCGGGAGTTTGCTTCATCTCGGGCCCGCTTGCCTTTGAGCCGACGCCATAGGTCGGAGTGCCACGCCGAATGCCACTTCATCGTGACGCGGCGCACCCAGGCCCCAATTGCACGCGCCGCGATCAGACAGGCCATGAGTTTCACGTGACGGGCAGCGTGCTGGGCCTGGTCCACGCCGTGCGCGGCGCGATCGAGTAGCAAGCCAACTCAACACCGCACTTTCACTGCAACGTGAAACTTGCCGATCAGCTGCAGGCCGAAGTGCTGCGCGTGGCGGAAGTGTTTTCTGCACGAGAAGCACCAAGCCGAGGTGCAGGCAGTGGAAAAGTCGTGGCCGCAAAATTTCCGCGGTTCAGAGAAGGATGCTTTGCGGCGGCTTCCTACTGCAAGACACGCAGCCGAGCGCTATGGACGGATCACGCAGAACAGGCGCCAGCCGCGGATGCGGCAAGGTTCAAGGCAGCCTACAATGCAGCCGTACAGCAAAAGCTGACGCATCAGCATCACGTGCGCCCGTGGAGTGCCTCGCAGCAAACCCGCGTGCCGCAGCCAGCGTGCTGCAAAAAGAACGCTCCGAACACATGCAACGGCTTCCCGCGGCCGCCCAATCGCGCTGCAGAGTCATATGCCGCGGCAACGCGCGTAAATTCAAGCTCAGCTCGCTGGGCACGGTGCTCGGTCTCCGGCAAGATCCGTGGCTGTCTGGCACCTGCCGAGCGTTCGCCCTGATGCTCATGGGCAACAGTCACACCGGCTTGAACTACCGCGTGCCTCTGCGCAGCACGCACGATCCGGACTGCGCTCGAGATTGTGTTGGGGCGCAGACCGTCCGGCGGCTTCAGCGAGCCGTCGCCCGAGCGGCTCGCCGTGCCACCAAGTATTTCACGAATTTCACGGGGCACTTGCAGCCTCTGGGCTGGAAAGAGCTGCAGCACGCGGCGAGGCACTTGAGCTTCTTGGGCACCAAGCCGTGTCAGGGCAAGGAGCTGCAGCGACACAGGCAAGTAGTCAGCCGGGTGTTGGGAGACCTCGAGTTTCGTTGCTCTGTCCGACCAGTCACGGGAAGAGTTCATGCTGGCTGGCTTTTGGGATGCAAGCCGTCCTCGGCCGAAGGCATTCGCAGCTTCTGCGTGGCCACATTCGTGGGGCACGAGCGGTTGACGCAGCTTGACGCAGTCACCGAACAGCGGAAGAAACTCAAGCCACACAGCAAAGGCAACGCAGACGCGAGGTCCGCGGCTTGTTCCGCATCGGAATTGGTGC